TCCTTCCTTTTTTGTACATCACGTGATTATAAATTGTCCAATAATCTTTAAATATTTTAATGACAAATGACCAAATGACAAAGGACGCAAATGACAGTCAAATGATACCCAATCATTTGGCATTTGTCATTTCGCGAATAATTCAAATGCCAAATGCCAAATGATGGGGTGTCATTTGACCAAATGACTCCTAATCTGAAAAATGGTCAAATGACCAGGTCATTTCCGAACACTGCCTTAAATTGAATCCAGTTCATCTATATGCTAGAATCTGTAAGTTTAGAATCTTAATCTGAACTTTCCATTCTTTATTTAAAAAAACTGAAATGATTTAAACCTAATTAATTAGACTAATAAAAAGGAGGGAGATATGTAAGAAAAAGTAGATAAAGAATAAAATGAAATTAATAAAACTGATAAAGATCCAAGCAGTTTATAAAAATTAAGAAATATTCTAGTTTAATAATTTCTCAATTAATCTTATATTAAAATAGATAAGTAAAATTAGGTGGGTTTTAATTTGGATAAAATTTTCAAATTTAATGATTATTTATTAATATTGTTAATCTTACAAAATAACTTTGCTTATATACCATATTGGCTATATAAAAAAATTACATTTATTAAATGCAATTGGGTATTTTACACTTCTTTTTTCAATAAAATCAGAGCTATTATAGTAACGACTTTTAATAATAGTATTGATTATATACCATTTTGAATCTGAACCACGTGATTATAAATACTACATGTAATTCCGGCTAGGGAAATGAATTTAACATCATAAATTATAAAATATTCTTTAATATGGCATTAAAGAATTTTTTTCCTGAAAACCTCTCAAAAACTTCATAAATTTCGGCTATAGTATTACAATAATTCCAACAATCGGTAATTAAGACTATTAAGCCCAAGTTAGTTATATCATCATCTACGTTTTTGTTTGCTTAATCCTGATAAATGAATCTAAAAGATCTATTTAATAATTATAAATATTCTATTGATTTTATTTAGGAATATTATTTATTTTCTTTAAATTATGATAGCTCTCAAAAAAAATTTTGAATAATATTAAATATAATTAAGTAGTATATAAAGATGCCGCAAAAACTATACCACGCCTAGTCTTTTCAATAGCTAATTTAAACTTTTCTTCTAGTTCTAAATCACCGATATCTTTTGCTGCATTAATCATTCCTCGCAACAATTCATCCAACATACGAAAAGTTCTAATAACATGTCCTTCGAACATGGAATCGGAAACTTTCATGACTTCAGAAAATGATCTTCCCTATATTATTAAATATAAAAAACATTTAGAACTATTATCTCTATTACGTTTTGATGCAAAGTACTTACTTGAGACCATGCATATACAGGCTCCATCATGTCAGGACAAAATGTCGCAAGGTATTCTTCTTCTATCATATCTATTTTACACTCACTAGAAACAGCAACTATATTACGTGCCACTTCTTGTAATCTACGATAAAGCACATATAATTCTTCTTTAAGTGTATGTTGTTTTTTATCACCATTTTCATATACAAAACAGCTTAATAAAGCAGCTATTTGCTCTGCATTCATATCATTAAAGACACCATTCATAATCATTTCGGTAATTACTAATTCATCACCAGCATTGATATGACAAGCAACACGCCCTTTCAACGAAACAACATCATCATCTGTCAAATAATTAAGTCGTCTTAATAATCGTTTTCGATATTTAAGATCATCGAGATGCAATATAGAGTTAGATATATTGATCTTTTTTCTTAAACTTTTTATTTTATTACTTAAAGCAACTTTCTGAGCGTATTGATCATATAATAATGGAAGCTCTGGTGTTTTATGGAGTTTGTTAGCAAAAAGCTTTGCCTCAAGGATTTCAATTTTCTAATAATATAATCATTAGAACAAAAAATTTTCGAATTTATAAAAAATAGAAACAAAAAAATAGATTACCCTAATTAACTTTCCAAAATCTTCATCTCGAATGTGCATATCTTCTATCGGATCCAGGATCGGTATACCTTCCGGGAAATGATTCTTTACTTTTTGAATTTGTTCATACAAATTATTTCTAATCTTATTGTGCGTAAGAATCTTAGGCGGAAAAATACGGATTGAACTAATAGAATGTATTGTAGATAATTCAACGGGAGCAACCTATATATTTTTAAAATGATAAATTAATAATATAATTTGAATTGTAAATTTTTAGGTATGTATTCTTACCAAAACTTCTCCCATTACATTCTCTTTGCATGGTCTAACACCGATGGTTTTCCCTTCAGCCGACTTTGCAACAATAGAATTTGGCTCGCAATTGAGTAAAACATCAACAAAATATTGTTCTGGTGATAAGATTTGGGGTTCTTGAATTTCTTTATTTGTATCATCCTTTATTTCAGACGTCGATAGCTCTGACGTTACTTTATTTAAAACGTTTAAATTCCTTGGATCCTAATTTCATAAAATACATTGTTATATGGAATTTCAGGATTTTTATAGGTAAACATATAAACTTGCCTTTCTTTTGCCATAAGCGACAACCATGCCCCATCCGAAATCCATATCCGCATGTTTTATTGATACTAATCGACCTGGTTTTAACCATTGCAGACTATGAATCGGATGACTAATAACCCGACGCATATCATGAGCATATGTGTCTAAAAGTTTTCGAATATTATAATATTCTTCGATAATTTCTTCGTTAGGTATCTCAAAAGATGCGTAAGCCTCATCCAATCGTAGTAGTTCTTTTTTATAACAGAGAAATTGAGAATCATCAAATATTTGATTAAATAATTTACGTCATCAAACATTTTTTACCTTCTTCAAGTACAGGCAAACAAGCAGTATTTTGGAACTGATAAAAGCTTCGCTGAAGGATGTATTCGGGACTAATACCTTCAACTCTGGTCATGTTTAGAATCATGTTATACTTCAAATGGAAAGAAGAATAAAGATTATCTGATTCGCCCTGTAAATTATTAATTGATGCGTTATATATATATATACATATCAAAAAACATGAAAGTAAAAAAATTTCATTACCGTAATTATTCCTTTAACAATCGTAGGATCCATTTTTTCTCTAGCCATTATTATGATAATTCCTCTAGCATCAATACCTCTTCTACCAGCGCGACCAGACATTTGGATATATTCACCTGATGTGATCTACAATATGATTTAAATTGTTAAGCGTGCACTATGTAATATGTTAATTAAGTTCGTTAACTTACATATCTATTAGCCGATCCATCAAATTTTTTTAAGTCAGTGAAAACAACCGTTTTAGCTGGCATATTTAATCCCATTGAAAAAGTCTCTGTCGCAAATAATATCTTTATGAGACCTTCTTGGAAAAGAAGTTCGACTATTTCTTTCAATACTGGTAATAACCCTGAATGATGAAAAGCAATCCCTCGTTTCAAGAATGGTATCAAATGTTCAATCTGTGGCAAATTACGATCATCTTCGGAAAGCGTTTCAATTGCATTTTTAAATACTTGTTGTACTAATTCTTGTTCCTCCTCTAATTAAAATTATAAAACATGTTTAATATCAATAAACATGAGCAATGCAAATAATTTTTTTTAGCCGAAAACAACTTGCCATTATTTAAAGTTACTTTTCCCATTTGAAGTGCATTGTTTTCACATTCTCGCTTTCCAAAACTAAAAATAATAGCTGGATAAAAATCGTTCTGCATTATCATTCTAACAATTTTTCGAATATCAGAGATCTCTAAATGTTAAAATGAATTTTGTTATTATTATATTTGATTCAATGTGTATTTTATTAAACTATCATACCTTTACCGGGTTTCTCTTCTTTTGATTCGTTTACTTCCTTTGTATCTTTTGACTCATTTATATCCACGGGTTCGTCGGAATCGAGTTGTTCTGATTCCGTTGATTCCTTTGACTTTTTGGATTTTTTCGACTTTTTGGATTTTTTTGACCCTTCATTGTTCTTTTTTCTCTTTGATTTTTTCTTAGTATTAATATACTCAATATCGGAATTTCTTTGCTGTAATAAGCCGGTCGCTTTTCTGAAACTATCTTCGTTGAAATTTCCCTTTTCATCAAGGATGACAAATATCCCATTACTTCCGCTAGGATGAATATAATGCTGCAGTGGAGTAGGGCGAAAATCGGTATATACAACGTGGCATGGCTTGAATTGAATAATGAGAAATTTTAATAATGTACTTACGATCAAAAGGAAAAAGAAAACCAAAATTATTTTTTGTCTACCTGAGCGTGCATCTTACAAATCCATTCTGCGAATTCCATTGCATTTGGGATGGTCGCGGATAAAAACACAAAATGGACCTGATGGGGTAACAAAATAATTGTTTCTTCCCAAACAACACCACGCACTAGATGAAAGAATATTTTGTTAAAGTTTGAATAGGTAATTTATAATTAATGAAATGCACTATACCTTTATCTCGCATATAGTGAATCTCATCAAAAATAACCCATGATACTTCACGCATAATAAGGTCGTTTCCACGGTAAAGCATAAGAAGTAAAATCTAAAATTTATTCATTAAATAATTGACGTATAACGAAGATTTATTATATGATATTCAATAATACCTCTGTGGTCATCACTAAACAACTTGCATCGGGTCTGATTGTCACGTCTCCAGTCATTAGACCTACGTCATGAAATTTAGATTCCAATTCTCTAAATTTTTGATTACTTAGTGCCTAGATTGAAGATAATGTAAGTATCTCTTGCGAAATTTAATGCAATTTAATGATAAACAGAGACAATAATTTACCTTTATAGGGCTTGTGTAAATAACCCTTTGTTTATCCCTCAATGCTTGAGCTATAGCATATTCTGCCACAACAGTTTTACCAGCTGACGTATGTGCACTAACCAAGATGGATTCATTTCTTTCAATACAAGAGATCGCGACCTTTTGAAATGGATCCAATTCGAAGGGATACTTACGAGCAGACTCAGCAAGAGGGACATGTTGAGAAATGGGAATATAGGGATAATTAGGTGGCAGAGCTACTTGATGACGAACCTATAAAGTAAATAACATCGATTTTATTTATATATGTTAAAAACTGACATATTTGCCGAAATTTTACTTACCTGGTGACTGAGAATTACATTTTCGCCTGCTGTATTATTATTTGACAAATAGCCAACAGATGGCTCATCAATAGCACGATGCTCAAAAGTATCAGCTACAACCGGATGTATAGAATCGTGAGGAATAACTTTTGGGATATGTATTTGCTTTATATCCGGAGTTAACGAGGGTTGGATTATTTCATCATATTGTGAATCAGCTACCAAATCTTGTTGTAACAAGATATCTCCAACAACTTCTTCCATTTCTTCTTCTTGTACAGGCTTTCCGATAGTTTCAGACACTACAACTTCAGTATTAGAATCCTTAGATTTTTTACTCATTTTCCTTTCTTCAATGGCATCATTAGAAGCAGCTCGTTGATTTTTATTTAAAACACTTTTAGAGTTTTTTGATTTAATCTCTCCAGTAGCATCCTTACTTGAAATGCTGCTAGTAACAATTGATTGTTGTGGACTCTCAAGTTTTGGTTTTTTAACCTTTTTACGTTCAGGATTTTTTTTAGAACGCTTCTTTTCAGCACTTAAGCCGCGTTTTTTAGAAAATAAAGTGGAAGAGGAGGGACTTTGTTGTTTTTCACTACTTGACATTTTCTTTAAGACAAAGTTTATCTGAATTCGTTAAATGACGATCCGACAAAAATGATCATCTAGTGGTGCCACATGTTTAAAAAATTGACGTAACGCAAAACCTGTAAGTTTACATCTTAAAATGTATAAAGCAGAGACTAAAAACATTGTTCGAGGCAAGAAAATTGTCTTTAGGTTTGAAATGTCTCAAAATAATATTAATAAATATCTGTTATATCAATAGACATAAGCAATTTTTATGATACAATATTTAATCACCCTAAAGAAAACGTTGAAAAAGAGATAAAGACTTTTGTACGGGAATTTGAGGTACAATTTGAGAAAAATTTGAAAAATCATTATTAAGTACTAAATAACTTTTTCTTTTAGTTGAATAAGAATGGTCGTGAAGAAGCTAATTTGCATAAATGTATTGTATACACACAAGATGCTCCAGATAAATATACAGACGGGGTAACTTCTCTAAATAAAAAGCTGATCGGAGTCAATGAAAAATGTTTGTAAAGTCTTTACTTCATATTTCGATAGTATAATAATTTAACAGCTATTTTTCTTATTAAGTACAAAATGCAAAGCCAACTTTCGAAACGTTGTTATCTGAATTAACAGAATTAAGACAAGTAATGATGATATTTTAATATGCCCTTGTGACTATTTTTACCTTTAATCAAACTTACTTTTATTAATGTTTTTAGAACCGCCAAAGCAGATCGGATCCATATCAAAAAGAGCGAAAAGAGTTTTTAAAAGGAATAGAAAAAGCAAAAAAGAATTATGAAGAAGAAATGAAAGAGAGGGAACAAGAGCTTGTGAAAGAATACAGATTATTAATGGAAGAGGCTGTAAGAGGTGTTGCTCCTCCATAATAATTGTTTATTATTTAATTACAAGGATTTTTGTAGATAATATATAACTTAATATAAAACAACTCTATAATTATAATTATTATGTCATCGGAAGATGCTTGCTATTGACGATTTATTAATTATTATAAATAAAAAATATTCTACATTAATAAATAAGACACTAATTATTGAAAAAAAGTAACTGTAATGCAGGCAGATTTTCCCGTAAATTATAGTAAGAGAAAATAAATAATTTTACTATAAATATATTTTGCCTTTTCATGAATGAGTTTATTATATATTAAACCTAATTGTAAGCTAACCAGCTATTAAAAAAAAAAAAAAATTCTACACACGAGATAATGCCTTTAATACATCGTTGGTTTCAATATTTATACCACTACTCTTTTCTTGACGTCTGCGAAGAATATCCAAAAGTTTAACCAACAAATCTTCACAATATGTTTGTGTAGCAGTATTATATAAGGATGCGTTATAAAGTAATGCATATAAATTGTCCACCTTAAAATAATTAAATATAAATATGTTATTGATTAATTTAACATCATAATTAAAGGATAAATAATACTTGCTTTAACTTCAATGGTATCCATCATTTGTTCCAAATAGTTATTTTCTGATTGTGTTTTTTCATTATCTGTACAGTACTGCAACAAAAATTTTCGTTGATCTTCATGTAGAACAGACATATCTACTTCATTAGGCATCAACGAAATTTGGTTACTCCCTTGCGACACTTTTTTAGCAACCTTAACAATTGATGAATGGAAATGGTTGATCCCATTGATCAGATTGTCCCATTCCTCAATCTCTGCCTTCAATCTGAAAAAAATAAACAATCATTAGAGAAAAAATAAAAAATTATTCAGATCAAGTGAATATTCTACCTTTGAGATATTGGTTCTAGCTCTTTCAATTTGTTTTGATTTTCGATATTTTGTTGGTGTGGCCGTTTTTTTAGCGGCTGTAAATCTTGTCCATCCTTCATATTAAATATTATAATCGTTAATAAAATACAATATTATATGTTATCTGCAAGTTATATAAATCGGTACATAGCGTACATTTCGATGATACCATGACGTATTTATTTTACTATCCATTATATCATTCAAAATGTCAGCTTCTAATATTTTTGCTATTTTCAATGCATTCTCATATTCTGATTTCTGGTTTTCCAAAGTTCTTTGTCCACACCAAGCTAGAAGTTGTCTTAGCCTTATTGGCCCCGGCAAATCTGGTTGAATATGACGATAAAATTCTTTGTGGCTTATGTCTGGATGTGGTTTCGCTAGAGACAAGAATGTAAGAATCAGAAATATTACCTAATTGATATACATCATTTTTCTACAAACCGATAAATCCATTTCCTATTGAAGAAGCTCTCTTTCCTCTTTTGTCAAGGCTTGATCTTCTTCTCTGTTTTCGGATATTTGTATTTTTCCTTATCATTGGCGTTTCAGTGAGTGGAATAGGAACTTCCGTCTCGTTTTTACTCGGCGGACTACTACATTTTGACAGTAAATTCGGTTGTTTTTCCACAGAAGGTTGAGTCTATTGAAGTATAACACATATGCATATTTAAATAACCGTGTTTCATATTGAATTTATATACTTTACGTACTGTCGAAGGTTCCTTTGACGCGTTTTTAGCAACGGAGATTTGTTTTTTTGCTGTCGAACTCGGTTTTTCTACTTTCTCCTTGTGAGACTGTCAAACAATAACTTTAGCAAAAAAATGACTTTAAAAAACAAATATATACATGGCTAACCTTGTTGCTAATTTTCCCGTCATTTGAGTATTTTGTTCTCTTTTTGCTGATGGATAGAGACATTATCAGAACGTCAAAAAGGCTAGCTTTGAAGTTTTTGAAAAAAAACACGTAAAAAAAACCTGCGTTTATGATCACAGGGAAAGTCTAAATTTAGCGGTCATTGCTACACAATTAATTAATTTTGATAATTTATAGGTGTCTTTCTGTTTAATCCTCGGGAAAAGTTATATAAGAACCATTTTCTCTTATAGCAATTGAATTTACTATGATAAGGTTCTAATTTCTAATCACAACATTTATTAATATTAATAAAACCAATTAATTATAAGAATGATATGTATTAGAAAAATTATATTAAAAAAAATGATAAAGATTTAAAATACAACCATTTAGCCAGATCAAATTATTTGATTTTTTTTATTATTTTTAAAAATTAAAACTTATTTATTCTAATGCCAAAAGGTAAATAAAATCTTTATCTAAAATCACAAACTTTATCATTATAAACCTGCAAATTTTTTAACATATCAGCAGATTTGCAAAAGTTCAAGACTGTTTCTAAAAGAAAAAAAAAAGAAAAGAATTATTAGTAAGATTTCAAAAAAAAAAAAATCATCATAATTTTAAACTGAAATTTAAAAAACAAGATGTTCAAAAATAAAAAACCTTTTCTTTATAATAATATTATTTTATATACATTTTTACTAGTCTATGAAAATATCATAAAATATTCTTATATAAAATAAATTATTAATTAACATAATTAATACATATATATATTTGGATTAAATAGCATTAAATATAACTGTAAAATACTTCTATATATTGCTTTTTATAAATAAAGATTACTTAAATAAGTTCTTATATATAGTATTCATTAGCTTGAAAAGTTTCCAAAAATTTTAGAAATCTAAAAAATCTGCACAGTTTGAGCATTTTTAAAAATTTGCAAAACTACTAATAATTTAAATGAAATTTCCAAAATTTACCTTTCTTACTTTGATATATTAGCATTAGTTAATTTTATAGTTTCACCACACAGTTTTAATCCACTAGTATATTAAAAGCATATTGGTCAACTTTATATTTTCAGTTTAAAGAGTTTTTACAAATCTATGTAAATATTTTTTTATTTATCATTTTCTGAAAATTTGAAAACTCATTATAATGTAAAAGAGTATAACATATATAATAAATAAAATTACAATCACATAACATAACTAATTTATCTTCCTACTTGATATGACATTATAAAAAAAACAAAATTTTGTTTTCATACCTTATTATTGCCATTATACAACCAACTCTTTCTAAATGTACATTTTTCAAATTTTCATTATGGTTCCAAGGAAGGTGCATTTAGAGAACTCTCTAAAGTGAGTGAGGCGTTTCTCTAGTTCCTCTACCAAAAAATAATAGCTACTTATTAGGACATGATGTGCGTTTTCATTTTACTCTTCAGCCTTGATGATTTTATAGTAAAGATCAAAAAAGGTTCACGCACCATCAACTTCACGTTCTCTCTATGGTACTTTTTCTTTCCCTTAATTTCAGAAATTTGAGTGGTGTCAGAAAATAGCTTCCAAATAAGCTTCTTTAAAACATTGAACGAATATTTGCGATGACGCTACAAAAAATCTTTGTTCAGAGACCACTGACAGGACCCGCTTACTTATAATAAAGGTTACTGTAGAAAATTGGCCCTTTACTAATAGTTAGAGTTTCAAACAGGTTGACCAAATTCAGGTAACCTGACAGGTTGACCTGAAACTATGATTTTATATAATAAGTGAGTTATGGTATTATAATTCACTTTTTATATTGATTTTATATAATAAAAGTGAATTGTGATATTGGGATTCACTTTTTTATATTGATTTTATATAATAAAAGTGAATTGCGATATCAGAATTCACTTTTTTATATATAAAAAGTGAATTGCGGTATCGGAATTCACTTTTTTATATCGATTATATATATAAAAAGTGAATTGCGGTATCAGAATTCACTCTTTTATATCGATTTTATATATAAAAAGTGAATTGCGGTATCGGAATTCACTCTTTTATATCGATTTTATATATAAAAAGTGAATTGCGGTATCGGAATTCACTTTTTATATTGATTTTATATTAAAAAAGTTAGTTGCGGTATTGCGATTTACCTTTTTATACAATTTTAATATAAAAAACTGAATCAAAAAAATGGTTTGCATCATTTTTTTTAATATTTTTAATATAAATCCTGAAAATTTTCAGGTTTCAGTTCAGGTCAGGTCAAATAGATAACCTGATATGACCTGACCTGACCTGACCTGAAAAAAAATTTCAGGTCAGGTTTATCAATTTACCTGACCTAACCTGACCCATTCGGAACTCTACTAATAGTTTTTACCTTACTACTTTTTTCTTAAATTCTATTGGTTAATTAGCTAAAAAGAAAAAAAATTATAACAATGTAACATAAAATTTCCTTTTATAGTAGGATCTGCAAAGAACTTTATATATGATTTTTACCTTAGGCCTGGGTGATTTATCTTATAAGTAAACAGGATCCTCCACTGACTTTATAGTTGCGGTAGAACCCCAGATAATTATAATTAAGGTCATATCTTACTATGTTTTAAACTTTATTTTTCTTTTAACATGTAATTTTATTAAGTTAATATTATTTTTTACCATAGAAAAAAATGTTTCTTTTGAAAAGAAGAATCTTTTGATACCAAAAATCTTGTAAATCTACTGATTAGAATTTGAGATAAGTATCATTACACAGGTAAAATTTGGCAAAAAAATATACGTTTTTTCACTATCAGTATACATAGAAATATACAAAAAAATAAAAATTACTATTATTAAATATTACTTTTTAAGTAACAAAATTATAGATAATAGGAGGGCAATTATTATTACGAAATTTTATATCTATAGCTTTAAAAGTAAGTTCAGGATGACAAGGGTAAATTTTTAGCATAAAAGATATGACTTTAATTATAATTGTCCAGAGTTCTGTTGCGATACAATCAGCAACAGGACAGTTATTTTGGTGTGTAAGCAGAAAAGTTTTATGCACTTCCTATGAAATACATGTTTACAAGATAACATGATAAATGCTTTGAACGAAAAAGAAAGAATGTCTTTATCATAACACAGATATTTTTCAAGTTCAGTAAATTCAGCGCAAATTTTAAGTGTTTATATTTATTTTTAAATTGCTTATACCACTAATTATAAATAATAATTAGCAAAATAGAGGCTATTTATTAGCAATTACGTACTGCATTTCGCTATTGTGTTAATCTCCTTGCAAATCAATAAAGATGACTTCAGGATTAGCATACGCATCCTCAAATCCCATATATCTGAATATTGTTTTATTGACCAGAGACATGCAAAAATAAAGTCAAATGCGATCTGCATATTGCACAGCCCCTATTGATATTGTATTGCGCATTTTAGGTGATCGGCTTCACATGACCAATCGCGTGATACTGGGGTAAATAGCAGTCAGCAGTTGATTACATAAATACTGTATTACCTAATCTTCAGGTTATCAAAAATTGGTACTATGTTTTGTGGTACTAAGAACTTAATATGTTATATTTAAAAAAGAGAAAAATTTTTAGATAATATGTCATAATTAGATTGGGATTGAATCTCCTATTCAAGACAATAAGTTTAATCAACAATCTATACTTTTCTTTGTATTTTCACTTTTATAGTTTTTATTATGTATAAGACAAGGGTGGACAAGATACTGAACTGTTGAAAACAATATTATCATTAAATTCCTTACTGTATTTAGGGAAACTAAGTAAAATAGAGATTGGAGGTCAGGTTTTGTTAAATAAGCTTATCTGAGGTGTGAATAGTAAGTAAATAAGAAGACTTGACTTGTTATATTTTTCTAGAAAATTTGGAATACAGTCAACCTTTATACAATGATATGTCAGGACATATATGAAATTTTTAGAAAATATCATTATATCAAAGTTATAAGTTATACTGATATTTATATGAAAAATAAAATTTTATCGGTATATCAAGTTTTCAATAGTATATCAGCATATTGAGGTTAGACAGGACCCCGAACATTATATATATAACTCAAATCTAAGGTCAAAAATTTTAATATAACTTTATACACTTAATTTTATTAAAAGCTTTATACAAAATCATCATATAAGTTCAAATTTTACTACANAAAAAATAAATTAAATTAATATTGCAGCACAAAATATTGGAGGGATCATCATTCATTCTAATTTTAAGAATAATCTCAATACAATATATTTGTATTGTTCGTTACAAATTTAATCGCTAATAAAAGAATAATCTCAACACAAACAAGATTTTATATTTTAATAATAAATAAAATTCATTGATACAATTAAAATAATAGATAGATATTAGAAAACATTTTTTTGAAATTTTTATTTTTTGCCTAATGCCTATACTATATATTTTATAAGCAAAACTAATTTTTTCACAAGATAAAACAATAAATAAAGCCTTAGATAAAGTCTATAAGAAGAGTTATTAATATAAGTTTTCAATACTATTAAATTTGATATATTATTAAAGCATTATTCTAAAATGAATTAATCTAAAAAAGTTTAATTTTATCAACAAGAAATTAACATTATTTTTCATCTTATTTAAAATCATTAATAACTAATATTAGTAGAATTTTCCAAAGATTGCAATTGGAAATGAAAAGTTTTTATATACAAATATATTAGATAACATTGATTGATAGAAAAATTTTAAATTATATTTTTTTATGATTTAATACTTATTAATTACTATCAATAATCAATTGATTCATATCATTAAAAGTACTGTTATAATAGAACCCCGAACATTATATACATAACTCAGATCTAAGGTCAAAAATTTTAATATAACTTTATACACTTAATTTTATTAAAAGCTTTATACAAAATCATCATATAAGTTCAAATTTTACTACAAATTATACAATTTCAAATCTGAGTTTATATAAAACAAAAATTATTTTATTTATTAATTTTATGTAATTATTTTAACAATTCAAAAATTCATAATTTAAAAAAAATTTTAAAAAAACTTGTCATAATTCAAAAATTAGTACTGTTGTGAAAAATACAAATGTTTCCACAAGTATTATACTAATGATTACGAAAATTTAAATCTAGGTAGTTTCGAACCTGCTGAACAACTTTCAATTAATAAAGATAGTCGATTTCATTTGGTAAAGGTGCCGAAATTACGCTCTGAA